TTACAAGCAATGATATAAAATGGTACAACCTGCTAATCCGGGCTCCCAGATGTGTGCCCTTCTCTCTGCTCTGCGGCTGCTCTTACGATCCGGTCCTTCTTCTGTCTTCCTTCCAAGGGTGGCGGGCGAGACGGCACGATGATACAATTGCATTTCACGGTAGCTGCCGAGCGTGATCCGTGGCGCGTCTACGCTTCCTGATACGCTTGATCATTACGCAAAAGAGATGCTAATATAAAAGAATAAAATCTGCCAAGTAAATTAAATGACGCGAATTTTAACACACGCTCGCAGGTGCGTTTGCACGCGCGCTTGCGTGCGCGCTCGCCTACGCGCTCGCCCTTCAAGCCGGTAGGAAGCGCGAGTCCGCCGTCGAGAAGTCCGCACAGTGACGGACAAAATGTCACGTCACAACCTACACGTCCACACTTGTTTCTACACACAAGAGAATGGATGGGGAGGTCATACACCGAAAAAATTCTTAATTTAAGAATATCCCATTTACGTATAGTATGTTTTCCTCTAAAATAAGCGCTGAGACGATCTTCTTAATTTAAGAGGGTAATCATCTAAAAATTAGTATATTCTTAATATGAGAATATACAGGATGTCTTATTTTAAATGATGATCTCAAATATCTCTTGAACAATACATTTTAGAGAAAAATGCTTCAGATAAAAGTTGCATGGTTTTAAGGTGGACATCATCAAAAACCATGTCAAGCGTGTAGCGCACGTGTGGCGACGATCGCTTTCGCAAATTGAGAATATATTATTAATTTAAGAGGAAATATTCTTATATCTGTTAAGAAGAAGTATTAAGTACATCTTTCAAGAATACAATTTTTTCGGTGTAACAACCCTTTCCTACATTCACATAGAAAAATTCCTGGGTACCCCGCTTATTGAAATTATTGGTTATAGAGATTTTTGTTATGGAGACAAGGGTTATAGTGCACACACACATTGATTTAAAGACTTTAATAAGATGCAAATAATTAAATATATCTTTTTCGACTTCATAACTACTGTTACGTCCAGCGGACTCACGCTGCCTTTTTTCTTTTTCTCACGGAGACCTAGGGGTTATCAACCCCTAGGACTTCTAGGAAAAGTAATAAAAATCTTTTCCCATGAGAAAATTTAAAGTAAAAAGACTCCAGTATCTACATTAATGCCAGATAAAATAGAGTTGGAATCGGTGAACGCAGGGAGCTAATGCACCGCCGATGACACTTCCCTTGGACAGCGCCATTAAAAACAGCGGCAGTTAATGTCAGTACTGGCGCCTAAACATTTTCCTGACAGGCAAGTCGCGGACGATTCTCACGATGTCCGCGACCATAAAATATAAATGTGACATGCGAAGTCCAGGGAAAGTGTTTGACGGGCGCGTGCCGACAGTGCACGTGCGCTCGCCTTAATCGGTGCACGTGCATTTTCCCATAAATTTAAGAAAGTCATAAACTAAGACGACACTTGCTGACACCAACCGACTCCTTTCCTCCCCCATAATCTCGACCAATCCAAAACCCTGAAAGTCATCCCACCACCCAAATTTGAATCCCACTAATTAGGAAAAACCGCTATATAAACCACGGTTCCGCGGTCCTGAACGTCTTTTCTTAGTCTTTTTAATCTTGTCTTTTTGCTCTCGTCTTTCTAGTCTTCTTTTGTCTTTGCTACCGTCTTCTTGCTGAGAGCTTCACAGTACAGTTCTCAAAGTTGGTCGAGAGAAGCTACCCAGCTCATATAAAACAGATCGAGTCTGAGTCTCGGGTGACTCCATTATTATTAATTGCAATAAGTATTAGAATCAGTTACTCGACGCCCGAGGTCCCGACTGCCAACGCCGACCACGAAGCTCTTGAAGCCCTCTCATCAGGCTCCAAAAATATCATCAAGCAGTAAGTTAACGCCACCCTCTTCCTTTTTCTTTCTTATTATTCTTTCTTTTTCTCTTTCTCCTCTCTGTTTTTCTTTCAGTAATTCATTTAATACTTCATTTAGTTTCTTTTCAATTATTTATTTATTGTCATTTGATCTTTTTTTATTTATTTCTTTCTTTCCCACTCCCTTTTTAGTTTCCACATAAAAGAAAATAAAACATTGCAGTGTGTTCACGCTATAACTTCAATCCCCGTCGGTATCCCCCTCGCGATAATTGTTCGCTCCTGTTGACCGGATATGCCCGCGTTGATACTATCGTTCAAAGAAAATCCGGCCAAACCTTCTCAGATCCACTCACCAAAATTCCCCTTCCTTCTTATTCTCTCGCTATCCTCTCCGTAACCTACTCCTTTTATACACACACACACACACACAACTATTATTATATATACATTTATACATCTAATGCAGGGCTCGGCACGAAATGCACATTTCGGCCGATTTTCGAGTCGGCTCCGCCTCCCGC